GCGGCTTCTTCTGCGCGAGTCGAGGATCCGATGCTTGAGCTGTCTGCTTCCGAGGAGGTGGACGTGCTCAGCATCGAAGGGGGCAGGGACTTCGGGGATGACTCGCCACCCCGTGTCCCCGCATATGAGGAGCTGGTAGAGGTTGTTTCCCGTGCAGTGGCTCATTTAAAGATCGATTGGCCACAAGAAAAGCAGGAAGTGCAAGTTAAAAGCAAATTAGATGAGCGCTTCCTGCAGCACAGGGAACAACCTCATCATCGGGGCTTACCGTTTTTTCCCGATTTGCATACTGAGGTGTGTAAATCGTGGAAGAAACCCCATTCTTCTCGTGTTTCCAATCCCACTATATTAAAATATAGTAATATCATGGGGGCACGAGAGAATGGTTATGGGATGATGCCGCGGGTTGAACAGCCTTTGGCTAATTATTTATCACCTGAGTCGGCATCATCCTTTAAAGCCCCGGTGCTGCCCACCAAGCCATGCAGAGAAACATCTTCTCTGGTGGGCAGGGCATATATGGCTGCGGGTCGGGCTGGTGCGAGTCTTCACACCATGGCGCTTCTCCAAGCGTACCAGGCCGACCTTCTTAAGGATATTGATGAGGGCGAGGGACCAACTCCGGAGGATGTGGCGGAGTTGAGGAAGGTCGCTGATTTGTCTCTCCGAGTCACCAAAGAGACGGCCCGCGCTGTCGGTCGCTCCATGGCGGCAATGGTGGTCTCGGAGAGACATTTATGGTTAAATCTGACGGGCATCAGGGAGAAAGACAGGGCTTTCCTCCTTGATGCCCCAATTTCGCCTTCTGGCCTGTTCGGCGACGCTGTAAATACCGTTGTCGACAGGTTTCAGGAGGCGAAAAATCAATCAGCGGCCTTCAAACAATTTCTCCCTCGCCGCTCAGTATCCAGGAAGTCTGCCCCCAGTGGGCAGTCGCAGCCTCAGCCAGGTACCAGCTCCTCCACCTACAGGCAGGTTCAGAGAGAGAGCGTCGCGTCTAGAGCCCCCCCTCAAGGAGCTTGGGGGCATAGACGGCGCTCTCAATCTAAGCCGCAAGCCAAGCAGGGCGACCTGAGGGCCGTCCTGCAGGCTAAGAAAACATCTAAGAGGTCCTAGCAGTGCTAGGATCTCTGCGGGCGGCCCCACCCGTGATGGAGCGACTGAGGTCGTCTCCCTCGCGGAGCCCGCAGGAAATCGATGTTGTTCTCCCGCCGTCAAGTACGTTTCGGGACGCATCGGTTTCCAGCGATCGCAAGCTGCTTGGTCCGCCCCACGAGCCTGCGGACGGGCAGCGATTGCGTTCGCCCATCGAGAATCGTTTTCGGTCCAGTCCTGCCGGAGATCCGTTTCAGGCGGTCGAGAACGAATCCCGATTAATACTCGAAACCAGGCTCGAGAGCCTGGTTCCCTTGGCGAAATATTTCGATGCATGGAAAAATCTAGCGAATATTTCCCCGTGGGCGCTGCGCACAATACAATACGGGTACAGGCTGCAGTTCGGGTTCCACCCACCCAGATTCAACGGGGTGGTCTGGACTGTAGTCAACCCGACGCAGGGTCGGGTATTGGAACAGGAAGTAAACTCCCTGCTGGCAAAGGGGGCCATAGAGCATATTCCTCCACTAGACAGGGAGTCCGGGTTTTACAGCCGCTACTTTATAGTTCCCAAAAAAGATGGGGGGTTGCGTCCGATCATAGATCTCAGATATCTGAACCGCTCTCTGAGGAGATTCAGGTTCAAGATGCTCACTATTCCCATGATCGTGAGTCAGATCCAATCCGAGGATTGGTTCGTCACGATAGATCTGAAGGACGCATACTTTCATATATCCATCCTTCCATCCCACAGGAAGTTCCTGAGGTTCGCTTTCGGGGGCGAAGCGTACCAATATCGGGTTCTTCCATTCGGCCTAGCTCTCTCTCCCCGCACATTCACCAAATGTATGGATGTAGCTCTAGCACCTCTGAGGCTCCAGGGCATCAGGGTGCTCAACTATATAGACGACTGGCTGATTCTGGCCCAGTCTCGAGAGCTGGCGGTTCAGCATCGAGATGTTGTTCTTGCCCACATCCAGGAACTGGGGTTGAGACTAAACACGAAGAAGAGCGTGTTGATACCAGCCCAAAGGACTACGTTCCTGGGAGTGGTATGGGATTCGGTCGTAATGCGGGTACGATTGTCGCCTGCGCGAGTCGAGTCCATTCTGGCCACAGTGGCTGGGATAAAGCTAGGCCAAGCCGTCACTGTCAAGCATTTCCAGAGAGTGCTGGGACTCATGGCAGCAGCGTCCAACATCATTCCATTTGGCCTGCTGCACATGAGGGCCCTCCAGTGGTGGTTAAAAACCAAGGGGTTCTCCCCGAGGGGAAACCCGTTCCGCACAATCAGAGTTACGCGCAGATGCCTTCGTTCTCTGGTTATGTGGAAGAAAGCTTGGTTCTTGTCCCAAGGTCCAGTGTTGGGAGCGCCATGTCGCCGGAAAACCGTTTCGACAGACGCTTCCCTCACGGGCTGGGGCGCGGTCATGGACGGCCGCTTCACGACAGGCCTATGGCGGGACCATCATTCCTCCTGGCACATAAACTGCCTGGAAATGTTGGCGGTCTCCCGGGCTCTGAGGAGCTTCCTGCCGGACCTCAGAGGTCATCACGTCCTCGTGAGGTCAGACAGCATGTCAGTGGTGGCCTATATAAACCATCAGGGGGGCCTGAGGTCTCACCCTCTATGCAGACTGGCGCATCAGATCCTCCTGTGGTCCCAGGGGAAACTGTTGTCTCTGAGAGCAACATACATCCCGGGAAGTCTAAATCAGGGAGCAGACGTCCTGTCGAGACAGGGGCTGAGGCCCGGGGATTGGAGACTTCACCCCGAGGTGGTGGAGTCGATATGTCAGAGGTTCGGTCCTGTGGAAGTGGACCTGTTTGCGTCTCGAGAGACGACCCACTGTCCGCTGTGGTTTTCCCTCACCCCTCCAGCCCCACTGGGGCTGGATGCTATGGTGCAGACGTGGCCGAGGCTGCGTCTGTATGCATTTCCCCCGATCGCTCTGCTCCCGGGAGTTCTGGAAAGGGTCCGTCACGACGGGATCAGTCTATTGTTGGTAGCCCCGTTGTGGCCGGCCCGAGTATGGTTCTCGGACATAATATTGCTCCTAGACGGCCCTCCGTGGGAGATTCCCCTCAGGAGGGACCTGCTGACACAGGCGGGGGGCTCAATATTTCACCCTCGGCCGGAGTTATGGAAACTGTGGGTCTGGCCCCTGAGGGGGCACAGTACCTAGAGGCCGGCCTGTCAGCTGGAGTAGTGGAGACCATACTCAGCTCTAGAGCTCCCTCCACGAGGAAACTGTATGGTTTAAAGTGGAATGTGTTTATTGATTGGTGTAGGAGGCGTGAGGTTGACCCAGTTAACTGCCCAGTGGCTTCAGTGCTGGAGTTCCTCCAAGATCGCTTCTCCTCTGGTCTTACCCCGTCCACGCTCAAGGTGTACGTGGCTGCCATTGCGGCTTTCCACGCTCCGTTGGGTGATGGGTCTCTGGGGAGACACCAATTGATCGTACGTTTCCTCCGTGGAGCTTGGAGGATGAGACCTGCGGCTCGTACCAGGGTTCCCTCTTGGGACCTGGCAGTAGTTCTAGAAGGATTGGCTGAGGCCCCCTTCGAGCCACTGGAGTCGGCTGAGGCCAAGAACCTAACGCTGAAGGTCGCTTTTCTGTTGGCCATCACTTCTCTGAGGAGGGTGGGAGATCTTCAGGCGCTCTCCATATCTAACGAGTGCCTGGAGTTTGCTCCAGGCAACATTAAGGCCATCCTTCACCCTAGGCCTGGCTATCTGCCTAAGGTGCCATCTAATGTGGCACGGCCTACGGTTCTGCAGGCATTTCATCCCCCACCTCACCTGACGGCGGATGAGGAGAGACTTCATAGGCTCTGCCCTGTCAGAGCACTAGGGATATATATTCAGAGGTCCTCTTCATGGCGGAAGGCGGACCAGTTGCTGGTATGTTTCGGGTCGCCCAAAAAGGGGTTTCCGGCCTCAAAACAAGCCATCAGCAACTGGATTGTCAATGCGATTTCCACAGCTTATCAGGTGCGCGGTATGCCTTCACCTTTGGCTGTGAGGGCCCATTCCACTAGAGGCATAGCATCCTCTAGGGCCCTTCTCGCAGGGGCCCCCATCCAGGAAGTCTGCGATGCAGCTGGATGGGCTACCCCACATACCTTCATTAGGTTTTACAGCTTAGACATTCCGTCGACACCCGGCTCTCTTGTGCTCGCGTCCTGAGTGTGCCTGTGAGCAGCTTCACACCAGGACAGGCAGGGCGCGTTGTGGCGTAGTGGGTACTCGTTCCCCCAAAGTGTCACTTGGACGCAGTTTGAGTTCCCTCGATAGGGAACGTCCTCAGGTTACGACTGTAACCCTTCTTCCCTGAGAAGGGAACGAGAACTGCGTCTCGTGGCCACGCCTTCCCCTGCCTGGGAGCGCTTGCTTCATCACAGAAGCTGACATGTTGTGTGTGCCGGTTCCTTATATATGCTTCCGCCTATGTGTCGTCACACATCACGTCATCACGTTGATCCAATCGGAGATTGGCTTAGTTTCATTCATGCTTCAGAGACGCTACGCTGAGGGGCGTTCCCCCAAAGTGTCACTTGGACGCAGTTCTCGTTCCCTTCTCAGGGAACAAGGGTTACAGTCGTAACCCGAGGACGTTTTCACGAACTGCTCCAGTACCACCTTGTCAATGACTCCCTTGACGTCACTTCCGTCAGCCATTTGCGGCAGGAGTCCCGGAGCTGTTGTGCCATCATGAAAGGTCGGCAGAACTCGTCAGTTCAACTCAACAGAACAGTCGATGCTGACATGCCATGACCACCGGCACCATCTTTTTTAAAATGTCCCCCAGAAAAGTTTATCTAAGTTTTCTTATCTAAGTTTCCAGTTATCCCAGTTTTCCCTGATCCCCTCTGTCTGTCTGTTTCTCTCTCCATTCCTCCAGCCTTGGGTGTACCCAGCAGTGCAGTGTTGCTGTTTGAGCTGGAACTACTACAGCTACAGAAGGGTGTTCCTGAGGGCTTTTTGTTCATCTGGCTTCAGAAGAGTCCTGAGCCACTGTTTCCTGTCATCGATATGAACCAAGACCAGGAGGTCCCACTGGAGGAGGTATTTGTTTTATTTATTTTTTGCTGTCTGGCTAATTAATGTTAAACCATTTATTTCTAGGTATATAGAACTGAGTTGCCCATGGACTGATACCCCATATAGCCCCCCCCCCCTCAAACAGAGGTTGTATTAAAGGAATAGTTCACCCAAAAAATTAAATTGTAGGAAGCACATGATTTACTCATCCTGAAGTCATCCTAGGAGTTCTGACATTCTTCTTTCAGACAAATACAATCAGAGTTATATTAACCCTCTCGGGTCTGAGGTGTTTGCTGGGTCCTGGAGGTGTTCTGACATGCTCTGACATTTGTGTTTTTTTCTGATACTTGTGACATTTTCATGGCTAAAGTCTGATTACACTAGCCTGGATGCCAGCCCGAACCCCGACCAAAAAGTAGCTGACTTACTGCGTTGCTCTGATTGGTTGTAGGTTTACCGACTATCCAATTGAGTGCAGAGTTGTTGTTTTTTCCTGGTTTGGTTAAGACACGCCTCATAATCAAAGCCCTACAGAGGAGTTTCAGACTCATATTCTGACTAGAATATGAGTATGACGAAGTCAGGCTATGATTACATTGTATTCAGCACAAACTCTGCTACAATAATATGTCAGCAGAATGTATGTAAAAGTTTTTAGTTTTGAGATAATGACGTTTATGCGTTGTTTGTGAAAAAACTAAAAAAACATTGTCACTGAAATAAGGTCATGAAACCCATACTAATTATTTATTCACAAGACTTTTGAATTGTATCACATAGCCTAGAATATTTGCTTCAAAACTATGTGAAAATCATCCTGACTACTTATTCAGATAAGACAATATTGATTTTAAAGTTAAGACATTTTTTGTGTAAGATTGTCACAGTACGTGTAATCAAAAAGGTGTGAGGACTCAAGTGCTGGAGAAAATATTAATTTATTGCCAAAACAAAACAAACACAAAGCAAAAACCCACAAAGGAGAAAAACACAATGAATAAGAATAAACCAATAACAGAACCTGAACAGAGGGTCACAGGGAATGGGAGACATTAGACAATGTACCGACACAGACTGCCAACAAGAGGAGACTTAAGTAGGGAACTAATCAGGAGGGAACAGGTGAATGAACTCAAACCATAATCAGGTAACGAGGGGGAGGGATCAGACAATGACACGAGCACATGGCCCAAAATAACAAAACACCCATGTGCAACACAATACAGGACAGGCATGTGACATTACCCCCTTACTACGGAGCGGCTACCTCTCGGGTGGCCAGGGCGGTGAAGACCTCTCGGGTGGCCAGGACGGTGAAGACCCCTCTGGTGGCCAGGGCGGTGAAGACCCCTCGGGTGGCCAGGGTGGTGAAGACCCCTCAGGTGGCCAGGGCGGTGAAGACCCCTCGGGTGGCCAGGGCGGAGATGCATCATGGGGACCAGACACCGGCTCGGAAACAGACACCGGCTGGGGAACAGGCATTGGCTCTGCCTCCGGCTCTGGAACAGGCACTGGCTCTGCCTCCGGCTCTGGAACAGGCACTGGCACTGCCTCCGGCTCTGGAATAGCAGCCACCGGCTCAGGAACAGCCACTAAAACAGAAATGGTCACAAGGACAGACAAACACAGAAACAAACACTGGGTCTGGAACAGGCACTGGTTCTGCCTCCGGCTCTGGAGCAGGCATTGGCTCTGGCTCTGGCTCTGGAACAGGCACTGGCTCCGGTTCTGGAACAGGCACTGGGTTCAGCTCTGAAACACTGGACACCGGCCTCTCCAATATCCGAGCCAGCCGTTCCAGATAGTCCCAGCTCAGGAAGACAGACGGGATGTGAACAGTCTCTGACTGAGCAGACGGGACGTGAACAGTCTCTGGCTGGGTAGACGTGACGTGAACAGTCTCTCGCTGGGCAGACGGGACGTGACCGGTCTCTTGCTGGGCTGACGAGACGTGAACAGTCTCTCGCTGGGCTGACGGGTTGTGAACAGTCTCTCGCTGGGCAGACGGGACGTGAACAGTCTCTCGCTGGGCAGACGGGACGTGTCTCCTCCTTCTCCGGACCACCGGACTTGGAACCACCGGAACAGGGACCACCAGACTTGTGGCGGCGTTGGCATGGTCAGGCTCCGATACATCCCACTGACTCCGATGCTCAAGGTATCTGATAAAACCCCAAAAGTCCAAGACTTCCAGACCCTTCACTTCCCACCCCGGCAATGGGTAATCAAGACAGATACTAAAAATGCTCTTTAAAGCTGTCTCATTGTAACCCATTCCTCTTGAGAGCGTCCAAAATGAATGAGCTATGCAACCCACCGGCAGGCCCTGCTGACGAAAGCTCATCAAATTTTGGACACGCCCCATCCTCTCCTTCTCCATGGTAGGGGGAAGGATACGGTAGTGATGTTACGTATGACACTGAAGCTTCGATGCGCGTATCACATATGCGACACAATTTGTAGTGAAGCCCCGTATCGGGGTGTGTATTGGTTTTCCCAGAGTCACGTGATCGATGACAAATGAAGCCTCATTTTCTGTCCGATCATGTGCAAGTTTCGCTTTGGGTGTCAGAAGGCTCGAACTCCAGATCTCATTTAACGAGTCAACGTTGCCTCAGTCTGGTTGATGGGTGTTTGAGTGCTGGACTTTGAAAGTTAATAGTTAAATATAATTCATTAAATAACCAAAATGTATTTTTCACTACTTAGTCTATTCTTTTTTGTTTTGTCTTTTTGTTTTTTGTAAAATCTTTGCACTTTGGTGGATTTGGTAATTTGGTGTTGGTATTTGGTTCCTACAGTTAGTAAGCACTATTGCCAAGTGTCATATATTTAAAAACAGATGATCAGACAATGTTATATTCATTGTGTGTGTGTGTACAGAGAGAGAGAGATAGAGTAGGCCTACATTAAATCTTATTGAGTAATATATGCTTATATTATATTTTATTGCCACACTTTAATGGGAAAATGAATTTATTAAATGAACAAATCAAATACAAACATGTATGGTTTTTATTTGTAGACATAACATTGAAACGCTGTAGTGTGTTGCTTCATCTGCCAGAGCTTCTGGCTGCTTTATTTTAAATAAGCACCAGATGGCGCTGTTCTCGACGCTCTCGAAGCTTTGAATCTTTTCCCGGAACAGTCAGTGGAAAGCCTCATTGCTTCATGAAGCTTCATTTCCCCATCCCTAGGATACAGAACCCCATCATGCTGGTTCTCTTAGTGATGGAGTCCTTCTCTTTCTCCGCTGAGTCCTCAAGTGGTCGGCACATTCTGTCACAGTACGTGTAATCAAAAAGGTGTGAGGACTCAAGTGCTGGAGAAAATATTAATTTATTGCCAAAACAAAACAAACACAAAGCAAAAACCCACAAAGGAGAAAAACACAATGAATAAGAATAAACCAATAACAGAACCTGAACAGAGGGTCACAGGGAATGGGAGACATTAGACAATGTACCGACACAGACTGCCAACAAGAGGAGACTTAAGTAGGGAACTAATCAGGAGGGAACAGGTGAATGAACTCAAACCATAATCAGGTAACGAGGGGGAGGGATCAGACAATGACACGAGCACATGGCCCAAAATAACAAAACACCCATGTGCAACACAAGACAGGACAGGCATGTGACAAAGATCCTGTTATGCAGGGAGGCGTTAACCATACATTATTTTTGATTGTTTCACGCCTGAGAAAGACAAAGACCCTCCCCTATTGGCCCTAAAAGGTGATATCAAATAATGAGGAGAGACTTAAAAAAGAATGGCTTTTAGATTGTTTGGATTTATTTACAACACATAATTCAAAGATTCACAACAAATGACATTTACATTTAGTCATTTAGCTATGGAATGCCAAAGCTGACTTAATTAAAAATAAATAAATACATAAATAAATATGTAAAAAAAAGTACAAAAACATGAGTATTTTTACTTTTATTTCCATATTTATGTATAATTGTATTTTTTCACACATGTATTTATTTATTTATTTATACATTTATTCATTTCCACTTTTATTTATTTCCACATTCATTTATGTATTTATGTTTTTATGTCTACATTTATTTTTTTTTCAAATGTATTTATTCCTACATTTATTTATTTCCACATTTAATTATTTCCACATTTATTTATTCCAACATTCCTTTCTCCGTATGCCAATGAGGGGGGCGTGTTTTAACTCAGACTTTTACTTTTAACTTTAACTTTTAACTCAAGCTCAGAGTGGCAGTGGTGAAGCTTTGAGGCCACAGTGACACCTTGTGGTGTGTGACCAAACAAAACGCAAGAGGCAAGGCAATATCACATTTTAAGTCATGTGTATCTCCCTAACTGTAGCCTATGTAGATAGGCTATATAGGGTTAACACACATGAACAGAAGCTGCACTTCAACGGGTCTGATAGCAGATACTTGGACAATGGACATGAAAGCGCATGAAAGTATTCAATATTAATAACAATGTAAATGCGGTGGAGAGGGCTGAGGCTGATAGCTTGCGTTTGGCTTGAGTTTATTGTCGATGAGACTCGCACACCAGCACAGAACGTGGAGAGAAACCAGCGCACATTTTACTGACTCTCAAGTAAGCATATTGATCAGTTTGAAACGCGACTCAATACGCGGTTTACATTCCCGTTTCCTCATTTCGTATGCATGACAGGTGACATTTCAAATGCTTAAAACGCAACCCATATAACATAGATGCTGCTCTTAGATATTGATTAGTCACAAGACATCAATTTTGAATTATTCTTAAAGAGCACCTATCATGGATTTTTGAAAATGACTGTTCATGTAGTGTGGACTATAGCTCTAAGGGAATAAAAACATCCTGCAAAGATTTATACCTGAAAGTGCACCGTATATAAAGTTATTGGTAACACTTTACAATAATAGTACATGAATAATCATGTACTAATACCTGAATTAATAGTTACTTCAACATTAACTCATGATTAGTGAATATATGAACTAATAACAAACAAATGAAGAGCAACCCTTAAT